TCTCTCTCTCTCTCTCTCTCTCTCTCTCTCTTTCTTTCTTTCTTTCTTTCTTTCTCTCTCTCTCTCTCTCTCTCTCTCTTCCTTCCTTCCTTCCTTCCTTCCTTCCTTTTTTAAAAAAAGAAACTCTACCCCTAACGGAGAGTTTGAACTCGCGACGCCAGGATTAGGAGCTGCATGATGCACCGCCTGAGCCAGTCAGGCACTCCTGTTTGTTTTGTTTCCTAAATTCTACATATGAGTAAAATCATATGGGATTTGTCTTTCTCAGACTGACTGATCTCACTTTGAATTATACTCTCTAGCTCCACCCATGTTGTTGTGAATGGCTAGATTTCATTATTTTTTATGGCTGAGTCACGTTCCATTATGTATACACACACGTGCACACACACACACACACACACACACACACCATATTTCCTTTATTCATTCATCAGCTGATGGACACTTGGGCTGCTTCTAGAATTTGGCTGTTATAAATAATGCCACAATAAACACAGGGGTACATGTATCCTTTTGAATTAGTGTTTTTGTATTCTTTGGGTAAATACCCAGTAGAAGCATTACTGGATCATATGGTAATTCTGTTTTTAATTTTTGGGGAACCTCCATACTGTCTTTCATAGTGGCTGCACCAGTTTGCATTCCTGCCAACAGTGCAGGAAGGTTCCTTTTTCTCTGTATCCTTGCCGACACTTTTTGCTTCTTGTGTTTTTGATTTTAGCCATTCTGACAGATGTGAGGTTGTATCTAATGGTGGTGTTGATTTGCATTTCCCTGACGATGAATGATGTTGAGCATCTTTTCATGTGTTTATTGGCTACCTGTATGTCTCTTTGAAAAAATTTTTTTAAAGATTTTACTTTTTTATTAAAAAATTTTAAGGCTTATTTTTGAAAGAGAGAGAGAGAGAAACAGAGCATGAATGGGGGAGGGGCAGAGAGAGGGAGACACAGAAGCCAAAGCAGGCGCTAGGCTCTAAGCTATCAGCACAGAGCCTGATGTAGGGCTTGAACCTGCCAACCACAAGATCATGACCTGAGCCAAAGTCAGACACTTAGCCAACTGAGCCACCCAGGTGCCCCCAAAAAGATTTTATTTTTAAGCAATCTCTACACCCAAGGTGGGGCTCGAACTCACAAACCCCAGATCAAGAGTTGCAAGTTCCACCAACTGAGCCAGCCAGGTGCTCCTGTATGTCCTTTGGAGAAATGTCTGTTCATGTGTTTTACCCACTTTTAAATTGGGTTATTTGGCTTTTTGGTGTTGAGTTGTATAAATTTATATATTTTGGATACTAACCCTTTATCAGACACATCATTTGCAAATATCTTTTCCACTCAGTAAGCTGTCCTTTAGTTTTGTTGATTGTTTCCTTTATTGTGCAGAAGTTTTTTATTTTTGATGTAGTCCCAATAATTTAGTTTTACTTTTGTTTCTCTTGCCTTATAAGTCAGTTCCAGAAAAATGTTGCCATGATACTTAGGTATTCTTTAATGTATTCCATCAATAATCTGTATAATTTTTTCCTTTTGGGTCTTGTTTATCTTTTGTCAACTTAACCTTACATATTTAATAGTGTTTTTGCCATATTTAATGGGATCTTTTAAAATCACATTTTCGAAAACAACTTGACAATAAACTATTTAAAAAAAAAAGTAAAATAACAGTTTCTAATTGGCTAGTCCTAATGAAATGGAACATTTTGGCTTTGTGTATATTGATCTTGTATCCAGAAACATTATTTATAGTTGTAGTAGTGGGGTGTATGCATCACATTAATATATTTTTTAAAGTTTAATTAATTTTTTTTTTTTGAGAGAGAGAGAGAGAGAGAGAGAGAATCCCAAGCAGATTCCACACTGTCAGCGTGGAGCTGGATGTGGGCCTGAACATGTGAAATGTGAGATCACAACTAGAGGTGAAATTAAGAGTCAGATGCTGAAGCAACTGAGTCTTCCAAGACTCAGTCAGCCCCTCTTCCTTCCTTCCTTCCTTCCTTCCTTCCTTCCTTCCTTCCTTCCTTCCTTCCTTCCTCCCTCCCTCCCTTCCTCCCTCCCTCCATCCCTTCCTTTCCTTCTTCCTCTTTCTTTTCTTATTTTTTTAAAGACAAACTCTAGCCCTAACATAGGGCTTGAGCTCATGACCCCAACCAAGATCAAGAGCTGAATACTCTACCAACTGAGCCACCTAGGCGCCCCATTAATAGATCTTTTGATGTTGTTCTTTCTACATTCTAGAGATAACCCAATGGGGCCATGGCTAAATTCAACTTTCCAGAACTTGACAGTTTTTAAAAGGTACTTTTGTACAAAATCTGTAACCTGAGAAACTGAATGGCTCTGCAGAGTGACTTCATCTATCAAAAGAGAAAAAGGCTGATGCAGCGCTGGCTGTTTTCGTCTTGGAACCTAGAACGACCTTACCTGCTTCTTTTGACCCTTCTTGGTGTGCTTTTGCTTAATTTCAGTGCTGGTGGCCACCACATTCCCTTCACTGGGTTTTAGATTCTTTTTAGATGGAGCTCCATTGAGAGCTCAAACAAGATGAATTACCATCCAGGTATTTGTAACTCTCCATGGTACTTAGCATACTACTGACGCAAAGAGCTCCAAACAAGGAAAAAGTTGGTATCTACTGATGAATTGATGCACTTCTGTTCATTAGCCCATTGGAATTTCACTTTTCTTCTGGCTTTCAGGAAGCTAAGAGCCGAGTTTTGTGCTCAGTGGTGGCACATTCCCTGACTCAGCTTTTTAATATTACTTTTCTTTCTATGCACCAGGTCTATGCATATAGCCTTTCTCCCTCACCATACAGCCTTTTATTATGTTTTGTTTTAATTATTAACTTTACTCCTAGGTTAATGGAAGTTATGTCAAATCCTTTTGCAGGTAGGTGGAGTTGAAATTCTAAGTAAAATGAGAAACGTTCAATAAATGTTGACTGGATAGAGAGCGTGAGGACTTTAGTGGGGATGGGGGTTATCCCAAATCATTAGTGTAGGAAATTAACTTCGATGTTTTAGAGTCTGCTTATAAGTAAGGCTTTGTACAGCCAAGACTGTATTGCATTCGGGGCGAAATCCTATTTTACTTTCACTGTTAGTAAATAAAAAAGCATTTCACAACCTAATAAAATAACGGTGCTTGGCATGATAACTGCACATATATGCCGTTGACTATTCTATTTCATTAAGTACTGAACTGGACCGCTCACGAACAGTTGTGGGCTTTTCCTTTTGAGCGGAATCTAAGTCTGATTTCTAAAAAATCGTTACTAGACTGTTTGTGTCCGGGTTGCTGAATTCCAACAACCCCTTCTTCAAGGGCATCTCCCAGAGGGGAGTTCGGGTCAATAGCTCAGGGACGATACAAAGCATTTTGTTCCTTTACTCACGGCCCTTAGCCGGTCTCCCAAGGAGACGAGTGGAATGCCCACTAAGTCATGCTTTTCCATTACTCATTCCGCCTTTTCTCCCAAGGTGGCGTGTGGGAGGTGTTGTGATCGGGCTCGATAAGAATAGGCCGGGAAGCTTGCTGCGGGATAATACACTCATCTCTTTGCGTGTTTCAATTCCGCCAGCGCCGTGCTCGGCGGCTTCAACGGGTGAGCAGCTTCCAAACGGACAATGACTCCACACTCGGCCGCCTCCCATTAGCATCGCAGCCCCTCTGAAGGCGCCAGGTCCCCCCAGTCCCGCCCCGCCCCACTTGGCCGAGCTTTGTCCCCTTACATGGTGGATCATCAGGTGGGTCAGGCGCGACTACTGCCGACTAACGTCCTCCGCGGGTCAACCCGGAGGGGACTCTGCCGGGCTCCCCAACCCCGCAGCCCCGCACCCCCGCACCCGCGCGGGCTCCTGGGCCGCCAGGAGGCGCCCCGGCATCTCCGCGGCTCCTCGGCCCCGTCTCTGTCTGGCCCACCTTTCGATTGGCCGGCTGTCCCGAGCTTTAAGCCCCGATTGGCTGCTGCCCGCGTCAATCGCGGACGTCGGGGCGGGCCGAGGTGACGCGCGGCTGCCGGGCTCGGGGCGGTGTCCCGCGCGGGCGGCCGCGGGCGGGGCTTCGCGGGGACCGACACGGGTCAGTCAGACGGCAGCAGCCCTGGGAGGCGCCAGTGCGAGTCCGAGCCGCTCCTCGTCCGCCGCCGCCGCCGCCGCCGCCGCCACCGCCGGCTCCGTCGCCGCCGCGCACAGGCCTCCCGCGTTCTTGCCTTCCCCGCGCCGCGGTCCTCGATGCGGGGCCGGGCCGCTGCGTGATGGGGCTGCGGAGCTGCGCCCTGCGGCTCGCGGCGGCAGCTGCTAGCGCTGAGGAGCGTCGGTGCCGGGCCCCCCGCGCCCCCGCGCGCCGCCTCGCCTGCTGACCCGGCCCGCCCGTCCGCCCGTCGGTCCCGCAGCGCGGCTGAGGTAAGGCGGGGGCCCGGGCGGCGGTTGGCGCCGCGGCCGCGGGGCTGGGGAGGGGGCCGTCAGCGGGGAGGGGCGGGCCGGGGCCGGGCGGGGTCCGAGCGGAGGAAGCGCCGGGCCGCGCGGGGAAGCCGCGCCGCCCCAGCGGGGCGCGGACTGGGGTGGGGCGGGGCGCGGCGCGGCGGGGGACCCTCCCGGGCCCGGCGAGCCCCGGGCTCGGGTCCAGCGGCCTGCGGGGCCCCCCGCAGTGCCCTGCACCTTCCCTCCGCTTCCCCTGAGCTGCGGGCCCCCCGGCCTGTGCCCAGCGGCCAGCCCGCCCGCCGCCGTGGGTCTGTTTCGCCTGCGCTCTCTGCGCACACTGCGGCTCCGCGGGGCCGGCCCTGCCCGGCCTGCAAGCCCCCCATCCCCTCTCCCCACCGGGGCTGAGACTGGGAATGTGCTTGTGCCCCCTCTGCCAGATGGAAGTGGGAAGGGGCTCGGCGCGCCGAAGGGGTGGGGGCGGGGGCCCAGGGCGCGGGGACTGGAGCGGAGCGCGATGGAAGGGAGGGGGCGTGCGGGCTGCCGGCCAGGCGCGAGCAGGGCTGGTGTGGTCTCGGCGCCGAGCAGCAGCCCGGGATTACTCTGGCAGCCATATTGGGAGGATGATCTGACAAATCCTTCGGTGGCCAAGACCGCTTGCTGGAAGGCACCTAGTGACAGCCCTGGCAGCTCCCAGGGCGCCTGGCCGCGCCAGAAGCCGGGCAGTGGGGGTTGGGAGCCTGCTCGAGCGAGCTAGTCATTGTTCGCGCAACACGACGCGTTCCGGCCCGAAAACCGAACCCGAACTCCCCGAATCACTTTTTCTCCCTTGGCGTATCGCTACGTGAGCGTCTAGGGGAAAGTGCCTTCAAGATGCCGTTCTTGTTGGGGTGAAACGCTGTGTTTGTGTATCCGCCTTGTATGGTCCGTGCTGGGGCCGTGGAGGGCCCGATGATGGTCCTTACGTGTACGCGAGCTGAGGACCGCTAAGGCCAGCCTTCCGGCCTGGAGGCTTCGAGTTAGTGTCCTTGCATTGCATGGACAGATTTTTCCGAGTAGCTCACCACGCAGAGATCTAGTAAGCTGGAATATTCTCCTAGTGACCGAGGCGTGCAGCGGTATTTATGACGTTGCAGGTTGTCACCTTTGTGGCATCTGGAGGTAGCCGAAATTAGATTGTCAACAGATCCCTTGCTCACATGTCTCTTACTGTTCTAGGCAGCTGTTGTGCCAACACTGAATAAGTCGCTTTGTGTCGTAGAAGGGTCTGTCTGAGGCCTATGGAAGTATGCTGATTGGATTTGAATAGCTCTTAAGTGATATCAGGGTGGATATTTTATTTACAGGCTGGCATTTTGTCAGCTAAGCTTAGTCATAATAAAATCTTAGCCTGTGTTCTCTTGAGTGAGGTGGTGCTTTCTAATTAACTTGGGGTGGCTGTTGGATTATGGGGCACGCGGAGTTCACATAGTGTGAGGATGGAGTATAAGGGTTGTACACACCTGGGGATTGTAAAGCCGGTCCGGAAATGATCAGTGACCCGAGACCGGATTTCGTGTGAGCCTATAAATCTGTCTGCTGCGTGCTCCATGTGGACAGGGCCTGGAGAGCTGCAGACCTGTCTTCTTTGTTAAGTTGAACTATCTAAACGTTTTCAGGTAAGATTTTCTAAGAAAAGTCTTAATACTTTATTTTTACCTTTAAGCTTTGCCTTTAAAACTTAGTTGAATCAAAAATGGTGTCAATAGAAACTAGTGCTTTTTGTATTACTTTAACTTGGGAGAAATACAGAACGTGTGTTTTAAAATCCCATGCCCCAATTAAGAAACTGTTTCTAAGTTGAACATTTTTACAACTACTTTATTAGTAAAAAAGACCTGAAGAATTGTGGTTAGATATAATTTCAGCGTTTAATAAAATGAGACCTGATTGTGAACCTGATTTGGAGGCAGAATTTTACAAATCTGTGCAGCTCTGCTCTGATGAATGTTTTTTCCAAAATTTATCCAATTAAGTACAGCTTCGAAGGCTTTAAGCAGACTATTTTTCTTTTCAAGACCAGTCATGAATGCAGCTTTTCCTTTTTTCTCTTTTCTCTTTCCCACTTTGAATTTGTGCAGGGAATAAACTCTCCAGAAGAGTGCCGACAATCTCTCTCCAAGACAAAAGCTTTCTAGCCGGCTTCCCTGCTAAGGGCTTGTTCTGGGTACAAAGTAAAGGATAACAATAGGCCCTGCCTCCTAGTTTGTCAACCTCTTCCCAGGCTGCTAATCACAGCAGGTCTTTTCCAGGAGTTAAGCATATCCTTTTGATCTTGTAAACTGATATGATAGAATTTTACAAGGCTCTGAAGTGAAAGGTAGAGCCTGTCTACTTCATGTAGTTCTCTTTGAAAGATGGCCTTGTTGAAACAGAAACTGGTGAATCTCTGCAGTTCATAAAAGTATGAGTAAATATACATACTTTTAGAACTTTTCTCTGCGCAGCTCCTTGGAATAGAAGATGAGCAAAGCAGAGGTGACAGTGACGAGGAAAACCTTGCAAAAGAGTTTCTCTTTGAGGTGGACATTTTGGTTAATGGCCCATTGATTCATTTATGCTCACTTTTATGACATTCATGACCAGTTTATTGACAGTGCATATAGAGATTTAGTTCTTTACCGTCAAGGCACTTCCCTTTGTATACAGACATGGTTAGGTCAAGTTAACTCCCAATTTAGCGTACTGCTGCCCATACCGTGGTGGTTTCCATGGTTTTTATAGTCAGAACCTTTTCCCCTTTGTATCGTCATATAATACTTCTCTAGTGCTCAATTGGTACTTTTATGATTGCTTTGTGTTTGTTTGTATATGTGTTTGAAGTCAAAAGATTGTAAATGTCTAATGGATTAAAATTTTTTTTATATTTAATACCATGTTGTCTATGCCAAAGCATACCATTCAGCTGTACCATCCTCTACCATTGCTCTGTTTGATACCACTGACACTTGGATTAGTTCTCCTTTCCATCTGAATTTCTGACGTCATTCTGGCAGATGTCAGCAACTGTACAAATAACAACAACAATATTGACAAAATGGTTTACTCATATTGAGCTCTTTCTAATGTGCCAGGCTCTTTTCTAAGCACTTTACATCATTCACTAAATTAATCCTTGTTTTAAAAAAAAATTTTTAAAGTTTATTTATTTTGAGAGAGAGAAAGAGAGAGAGAGACAGTGTGAGTGGGGGAGGGGCAGAGAGAGAGGGAGAGAGAGAATCCCCAGCAGGCTTCACATTGTCAGCACAGAGCTCGATGCGGGGCTCGAACTCACAAAACTGTGAGATCGTGAGCTGAGCCAAAACTGAGATTTGGACGCTTAACCGACTGAGCCACCTGCACGCCCCTCTAATTTAATGCTTGTAACAACCATACGAAATAGATACTATTATCCCCATTTTACAGATGAAGAAACAGGCTAAGTGACTACCCCCCTCCCCTCCTGGGTCATTAGAAATACCTAAACTCTATCCTGAACTTCTGTAACCAACTACCTTTAACTGTAAAATTTCTTGACTTCAGCTCAAGCAAACGTTGGCTTCATGTTGTTTCAGTAACTCACCGTTGTGGCCACATCTTAACTTATCATCGCCTTCAGATCTATCTTCAGATCTCTAATTGGCCTACAGATCTGAATGAAGCTCTGATCATTTACAACTCTCACTTCCGTCTCTCTGTCCGTGTGCTCTTCCTCCTCAAGTCTCCTGGTTTGGCAGCCTCTTCCAGCCTTTCCTTCCGGGTAGCTTGTGGGGTGCGTGGTGGCTCCAGCTATTTTCTCACTGGCACTTGCAGTTTTTAATTCTTATTATTCTGCAAGACCCATTATGCACATGCCAGCCTTGCATCATTCTTATCACCCATACCTTCTATTTTTAGTCTGGCAGGGAGATATCTCACAGTGCTGGGGGGTAGTGCCACAATCAATGCCTTAGGTCTCCTCCAAATTGGTCTTTGATGTCTGTTGTAATTCTTTTCAGTTCGCTCTCCTGTCCTCCACAGTGACTTTTCTAAAATTTTGACTCAAGCGTCCCCGCTGCCCCATGTTTGGCATAAAACCTTACCTACCACCTCAGGGAAGAGAAGGCATGAACTCCCCCCTCTCCCTTTCCTCTGCTTACAGAATTCTCTGCCTTCTTTTTTACCTTCTTTCCTCCAGTCCAGAGAAGAGTTACTCTCCCTGACTTAGCTAATCCCTCAGCCCGTGTTCTGGATGTTAGCATCGCCTTGTAATCTTAGGGACTTGCTGTATTGGTTTCTTTTTTCCCCTTTTGCAGTTTCTCTACAGTCCTACTTTAGGGCCTCTGCTCTGACCTAGAACACTCTTCCCCTGAAAGCTGCTTGGCTAACTCCTTCACCTCCTTCAAGTCTTTGCTTCCGCCTTACCACCCAGCAGGCCTCACCTGACCGCATTTAAGCACCTACAGTGTTCCTCCCCACCAGACGCCGGCCTTTGCTGTACTTTTCCCTTCCTCGTAACGCTTATTATCATGTAGCATTTTGTATAAATTACTATTTTAATGTCCCCTCTCCCCCTCCTAAGATGTAAGCTCCTGCATGGCAAGGATGTTTATCTGTTTCATTCATTGATTTATCCCAGACTCCTCGAACTGCCTGTCAGATCGTAGGCACCTAGTAAATAGCTGTGGAATAAAGTTTAGAAACATGCAGATCTCTCCTAATAAAGAAAGGGAAGCAGGGAGGAAAATCCTTCCTTCATTGTTTCCTCCTGGCTGTCAACTCTCCTGCCCCTCACAGACAAGTTCTGGAAGCAAGGAGTGTACTTGTGTTTCCACTTCCTAGCCTCCTAATTACTCCCCAGCCCACCGCACTCTGGCTTTAGTGGCCTCACTTTGCTGACGCCTGCTCTTGCTCTGGTTCCTGCCTTTTACCACCGAAACCAGGGGACACACTTCCTGCCGCCCCAGTGCTGGAAGTTCACCCCCCCTCCTTAATTCAACTTTTGTCTGCTTCTGTTTGGTGGGTCTGGTTTCAGATCTTGGCCTGCTTTTTCTGGCCACTCGACACCGTTATCAAATTCATTCAACACACGTTTTTGTATAATTTTTAGGCTTTTGTTTTTAGGATCTAGAATTTTGACATAACCTATTTCTGATGTTAAATAGCAGAATATGTTTATTGACAGAACGTTTTATTTGTTTATAATTTGTGCCACTTACCACTTCTAAAGAGGATTTGAGCAGCCTACCGCAAGTACCATACATACAGTGGGGCTGTTAAAGCATAGATAAAAAGCAAAACTCTGTGTAACAGAAGGAAAAACTAAAACATATTACAGCAATTTATGTAATGTGGTTGTTATTTAGTTTTGAAACTTAGAAGTCAAGGTAAAAAGGGAAAGATAAATTATACATACATATAATGGCAATGTATAATGGGTCATCAAGAGAAACTTTTTATAAGAAATTTGAAAATTGTAAGAGAAATGTGTTATAGACATACTGATATAAGGATATACACACTGGGAGGGTTTTTTTTTTAAGTATATTTATTTTGAGAGAGAGAGACCATGTGAGCAGGGGGAAGGCAGAGACGGAGGGAGGGAAGGAGAGAGATTAAGGGAGGTTCTCAAGTAGGCTCTGCACTGTCAGCACAGAGCCTGATGCAGGGCTCAAACCCATGAAACCTTGAGATCATGACCTGAGCTGAAACCGAGAGGCGCTTAACTGATTGAGTCACCCATGTGCCCCCACACTAGATGTTTTTAACAGGTCTTTAAATAAAAGGAAAAGATGTTTTTCAAGGACCTTTTTAAAGAAAGTAATCCAACCTGCTTTTCAAACTGTGAATACATTAAAATATAACCAGTCTTTTATTTTTTTTAATGAAGGCTATGACTAATATGGTTCAGATATATAACTTTATGTGAAGATAAATCAGAGCAGAAAACTCATTATTAAACCTTGTGAGAGTCTGGAATACTTGTATTCTGTGTTGTCACCTAAATGAAAACATATCTATTAAACTTTTCATGCTGGTTTACCATGTGGCAAGATTGGCATGTTATCAACACATGGAAAAGTCTGACCTGCATTTTTGCCCAGGTAGTAAGCTACCTCCCGGGCAGGGAGCTGCAGAGGTGTGGCCAGGAGCAGATTTTAGAAGGAGGGAACCTTGACTCATACCAAATTTGAATTAATGTCTGATTGAAACTTACCATTTCTACACTATAGCCGAGCTGAGTTGATTTCATTCTGGACAATCCCAGGAGAAGGTGTTGTGTCATTCGCTTTGACAACAGGAGAGCTTCAGTGGAATGTTGGGATTTGAGTGGGAGAATTCCCAGCAGGTCTGCCGAGAGAAAATTATGAGATGTAGCTTCGGGTAATTGACTTACTAGAGTTTAGCATTAACTATCCTTTGAAAGAGCAAAACATCACTGTCATTTGGAATAGTTTAAGCCATAGGAGCTGCTGTCTCTTATTTATGAGAGTACATGGGTGAGTGTGAGTGGGGGAGGGGCAGAGGGAGAGAGAATCTTAAGTAGGTTCCATGCTCAGTACAGAGCCTGAAGGGGGCTCTATCTCACTACTGTGAGATCATGACCCGAACCAAAATCAAGAGTTACTTAGTTAACTGAGCTACCCAGGTGCCCCTGTTTATTCTTATTTTTGAGTAAGCTCTGTTCCCAACATGGGGCTCAAACTCCTGACCCCAAGATCAAGAGTCACATGCTCTACCAACCGAGCCAGTGCCTAGGAATTGTTGTCTCTTGATGTGCCTCTTGGTTTCTGAATAAAATCATGTTACGAGTGAAAAGGAGGATCCTATATTTCTTAATTGCAGCAACAGTTAAATAATGAATTTTGTGCTCAGATTTATCTTTATGTAAAGTTATATATCTGAACCATATTAGTCATAGCCTTCATAAAAAAAACTGGTTATATTTTAATGTTGTATTCTCAGATTGAGAAGCATGTTGGATTACTTTTTTAAAAAATGTCCTTGAAAAACATCTTTTATTTAAAACTGCAGTGACAGTTTTTAAACTGGATTTTAAAACTTATTTTAGAGAGTGGTTAAAAGAAAACAGTTGGGGACCCTGGATGAGCTGGTTTAGCCCCATTTGAGATTGAAAATCTGATCTGTCAGGAGACTTTGTGCAGTCTGATTCTTGGCACTGGGTTAGAGTGCAGAAAGAAGCTTTTCCAACATGTGATTCGTTTTGATCTTTCACAGCGTGGCTCATGGCTGCTTTTTGTTCATAGAGTCAAAGACCAAGAGTAAGCAGGTAACTCCTACACAAAAATAAATTCTACAAAATAAATTCTTACCTTTTGGGGGGCCATTTTATCAGTATAGCCATGACCAATGACACAGAGTATTGGGTCCTAAAATCTGCCTAGTCCTCATGGAAAGTAGTGGACTGAGAGATGCAAAACTTATAATAATGAAGTTTTCATTGCATCTCAAAATGGGCTCGCTAGCTACTGATGCTGACTTTTGGGTACCTGTTCATTCTTTAGGTTATAATTCATTGTTGAAACCGTAATTCAGTGGAAAAGATGATCATTGAAATAGAGTGCTTACTGCTGTTGTAAATCTGCTGCTATTGTGTGAATATTGAATTTGAAAGACTACATTTCTTGGTTAAATTCTATTTTCGATTGTGACACACATGCACTGAATAATGTGTCTGTGTAGGAGAGTTAAGTGAACCACTGATTGCAACATTGGGCAAAGTGGAATAAGTAGAAAAATGGAAGAATCAACACAACATTTCTAAGAAGCAAAGAGAAAGAAGGTCTCACTTTTAGCTCAAAAAGGGGGCATGTTAAGGAATGTATGACTTCATGCGTTTTGCTTTATGGTGACATTTGACCTTGTGCTGGAAAGATGTGGATGTAACAGATTGAGAAGGGGGATTGAGCTTCCAGGAATTGCACATTTGGTGTAGTACGAGGATGCTTGGTGGAGAAGGCTTGAAGCTGGCCAGCGAAAATGGAGACTTTGGAAGCAGATTGGATTGTGGAGGCCCGTGGATTTTTAGGGTGTGTCCTGAGGCCACAGTAACCAATGCAAGGTTTTTAAAGAAAGGAAATGACATGAATTGACTTATGTGTTAGGGATATAATCTTGGCTCTTTTCTATAGAAAAGGGATACTATATAAAAGCAAACCGACCAAAAAGTAGTTGTATTTTGTTCCTGTTTACTCACTTTGCTCAAGGGTTAATTTGAGAATTAGTCTTCTCCTTGGGCTCTCAATAGTCCAGGGAACCTCTGAGGGCAAGTTCAGTTGCACAAGATCAAAGTTAAGCAATTGGGCAAAAATTCAGAAAAATTAAAATAACTTGGACCTAACGACTTTATTATCCCTTTATTGTTAGCGAATGCTTCTGGAATTTTTGCTCCATTCCGCTTTCCTGATGCTTCTAATTGTGTGTCATAGGAAGGAAAACAAGTTAAAGGAACAGTCTAGAACTGAGGCTGTGTAAGTGATTTAGAGTACGTGTGATTGTCTTTCCTGTCTTTCTTTCTTTGGCTGTTCAAAGCTTGCAAATGTATTTTTATGCTAATTTTAAGAAGTATTGTTTTCCTATAACTTCCTGAAAGTATTCTGTAATAATTGTTTTTTACTGGAATTTAAACCTGATTTCAGATTTATATAATTGGTAATTTTTCTTCAAGAGCCTGTGAATTTTGAAGCTGTAATTCTATTACAAAAGAGATACTGTGTATAGTGGGAAGTAACAAAGTAACATTTTTCTGTGGTCCATTTAACTATAGTTTCCTATTAAGATGTAAAAATTTTAACTCACTTGTGAAGATGGTTGCAGTTTTACCTTAGGACAATTAAGTCAGAAACAAAATATTTAGGTTCAAATTGTTTGGGAAGAGTAATTTTGTTATTTATTTGGGGAACAAGTTGTTTTGTTTTGTTTTTAGAGGGCACAAGTGAGCGAGGGGCAAATAGAGAGTCTCAGGAGGGACAGAGAGAGAGAGACACAGAGAGAGGGGGAGAGAGGAGGGCTCAACCAGAGTGGGGCTCAAACTCATCCAAAGTGGGGCTCAAACTCATGAACCGTGAGATCATGGCGTGAGACCAAGTCAGATACTTAATGATTGAGCCACCCAGGCGGCCGGGGGGGGGGGGGGGAGTAATTTTAAAATGTACTTATCACTTCCAAAAAAGAATGACTTAACATTTTTAATTAGGAAAGAATTTGAAATTAATTTTATCTTTTTTCCTTCTGATCAGATACTTCTGTTTTTATTTTGCAACAACTTATGGTTTTTATTAATGCCATTCAAAGCATCAGTCCATTGAAACAATAACTAGGAATTCAACTAAAATATTTTAACTACTATATTCAAGCCCCTGTATCTAGGGGGGATTAGAAACATGACTAAAATCCTGTTCTAGTCCACAAGGAGCTTAACATTTACAGTAGAGGTAAGAAAAGTAAATAACTTGCCCTAAGTAAGGCCAGTGAATTGAGTGGTATTAAATGGAGAAGCATCAGCATTTGGTTTGAGGGGTGAGGAGATCCTATGAAGGCTTTAGAGATAGGTGACATACAAGAAGATCCTAGAAAAAAATAAATTAGATTGGTAGAAGAAGGTCACAGTGGGTAGAAGGAGCGTTGGAGCAAAGGCACAGGGACAGAAAAACATGAGATAATTTCAGGAAGCCCTCTGGTGGGCGGTTGTTAAGGAATGTGGATAGAAGGCAGTGTTTTGTGGGCTTGTAAACATAGGTGGTTTATGTTGCAGAACACATTGGATGCCATTGTGAGAAGTTCAGCCATTGCTTGGTAGACAGTAGAGAAACTTTGAGGATTTTTAAGTGGACGATATGAACAAACCTGTGCTTCAGGAAGACCAATTTGGCAGTATTGCTTGGTATGGATCGAGTAGTTGAAAGTGGCAGTATTGTGTAGTAGAATTGGGGTAGAAGGAAGAAAGAGAGAAAGTGGTTAAAGTTAACAATCTTAGGTAAGAAGTATTGAAAATATTAAAGGGATGGTAGTGGTAGAAATGGAGAGATTTTTCTATGTAAAAGCTATATAATTTGGCAATTGATTTGGTGGATGGAAGAAGTAAGCAGATATTAGAGATGTTAGTGTTTGGTTCCTCATGACAAATACATAGCTCTTTACATTTAAATTTATGCAAGGAGGTTTCATTCTTTGTTGTCTAAATCTGGCAGCAGCATTCAGTACTTGGTAGGCTTTGGATAGACTACAAAAGAAGAAAGTTTTGTTTTTTAAATTTAAATATCTATACAGTAATGGTGGACACTTTGGCAAACTTGTTTCTTTGTCTTCCCCAATACAATTCTTTCTTTTCTTTTCTTTTTTTATTTTTCCTAATAAATTTCTTAACATCATCTGATACTGAGTCTATGTTCAGACTAATATGATTATCTAAAAAATGTGTTTCTGCAGATTTTCTTAACTAAAAAAAAAATCGTTGCAATTTATCTGACAACACAAGTTTCTTTTATTACCTCTGCATGCTATTTATTTGAAGATACTTGGTGACTTGACCTGTAGATTTTTCTGTATTCTGGTTTTGGGTGATTGTGTCTTTTAGGTGTCAGTTACATTTTTTATTTGCTCTCCTAGGTGGTTAGAGCTGAGGCTTCATCTCTTCATTTTTTTTTTTTTTTTTTAAAGGAGGCAGGGTAAGAATACTTACTAGGTGGTGCTGTGTATAGCACATGTTGGAAGTATAGACCACCCAGGTGTCTCACTTTTAGTGATATTAGGGTTGATTATTAGCTTCAGATATTGTCAGCCTAATCCAAGCAATACAGTGTTCCCACATTAGGGTGCCTTGGGTGGCTAGGTCGGTTAAGCATCTGACTCTTGATTTTGGCTCATGATCTCAGGGTTTGTGAGATCAAGCCCCATGTCAGACTGTGTTGAACATGGACCTTGCTTGGGATTCTCTCTCTTCCTCCCTCCCTTTCTCTCCCCTCCCCCCCCGCCTCTTCTCTGTGCACACTCATGCTCTCCTTCAGAATAAAGAAAAGAAAAACATTCCCATATCAACCAGCCTTTCATCTATGGCTTTTTTTCTTTTCTTTTCTTTTCTTTTCTTTTCCTTTCTTTTCTTTTCTTTTCTTTTCTTTTCTTTTCTTTTCTTTTCTTTTCTTTTGTGGCTAGTGACTCTTGTTGCGGAGAGGTTTTGTATCAGTAGGGTTGGAAAAATGGTGACATTCCAACTTTGTCATCTCTTCTGCATTTATTAGCTGGACTTCTTTTTGTGAGAGAAGAACTTGCCCTCACCAACTATTTGGCTGTCCTGGACTATAGTATATATAGTATATACAGACTGGGTGTATGCTCAATTAATTTATTTGCCAATTTTAAGAATGAGGTTTTTTTTTAAAGTATCATTATGAACTCATGAATTTATTTATTTATTAAAATGTTTTGTTTTATTTTTGAGACAGAGAGACAGAGTGTGAGCGGAGGAGGGTCAGAGAGAGAGGGAGACCTAGAACCTGAATCTCCAGGGCTGTTAGCTCTGGGCTGTGAGATCATGACCTGAGCCAAAGTAGGATGCTTAACTGACTGACTGAGCCACCTACGTGCACCTGAACTCATGAGTTTATATATTTGATGTTTTTCAGTCCATTTGTGGTTTGTATGAATGTAATTTCATGCTCTAAGTATTCCATCTTTGGGAGCTCCTTTGAGTTGGCACTGGTGTGCTTTTGCCATGACTCTGTTCACTTTTGATAGACTTCTTGCTTGTGATCACACTAAAATATCTCAGGATCATCTTGAAAATTCTCCACCAGACTTGGAATTAGCCATTTTTTCAAGAAGCCCAAGTTCAAAGAGTTTTTTTGAAGCAGTAGGAGTTTCACTTTGGGAAGCTATTAAGGAACAATACAAGATAGAATGCAGTCACATAAAATGATAGCAGGGTTCTCATAATTTGTTTGGGGATATAAGTGCTCCAGGAAATACCAGTGATTCCTGGATAGTTTGGATAGTCATTTGGGAAGAAGTAAGACTGGAGCTGGACATCAAATAGGAGAAATATTAAAATTGTAGGGGAGAAATTATTCAGAAGTATGAAAGAGCCATGTATATGGGATAGTAAAGGAGCTTGACTAGAACACAGAATACCTTGACTTTGGTCTTGATGTTGTAAGCACTGGGAATAAGAGAAGGTTCTTGAGTTTGGAAGTGAAATTGAAAGTCATACGTTAGAAGGGTTAATATTGCAGCAAGGTTAAGCAGTTGTGTATGGCAGGGTTCTCAGCTAGAGATTTGCAACATAATCTTTGAAAAAATAAAAACAAAAACTCTGTACCTGGGACTTTTTTCAAAACTGTTGCATACCAGGCTCATTTGTTTTTCAAAAGACCCCTGTGTGAATCAGTTTTGTGCAACCCTATGTAAGGACTATTGGATTAAAATGAAAAGTTCTAAGAGCACTTCCACTATTGCAGGTATGGTAGGCAGAGGTAGTGAGGAGTAGGGTTAGGCAGTGTCAGTGGGTTAAGGTAATGGCAATGAGAATGAGAGGAAGGAAGTGATAGAAAACAGCAAATTTATGGGTTTTTTTAATATTTATTTTTGAGAGAGAGAGAGACCATGAACAGAGGAGGGGCAGAAAGAGGGGGAGACACATAATCTGAAGCAGTCTCCAATCTCTGAGTTGTCAGCACAGAGCCCAATGTGGGACTTGAACTCACAAACCACAAGATCATGACCTGAGCCGAAGTTGGACACTTAACCGACTGAGCCACCCAGGTGCCCTGCAAATTTATGTTTTAAAAGTTTATAGGAGTACCTGGGTGGGTCATTCGGCTCAGTGTCTGACTCTTGATTTCAACTCAGGTCATGATCTCACAGTTTGTGAGTTCGAGCCCCATGTTGGGCTTCACACTGACAGCACCGAGCCTGCTTGGGATTCTGTCTGTCTGTCTTTCTCTCTCTCTCCACCCCCCTCCCTCTCTCTGTCCTTCTTCCCCCTCAAAATAAATAAACTTAAAAAATTTTTTATATAGTATATCATTAATAATTTTAACACTAATAAAAACATTCAAAGAAAAAGATACAAAGAGGACTCCAAGATTGGGGTCAGATGGACATGGGAAGATTGGCGGAGATTGCTAGTTTGGGGGAGAAGATAATGGAGCATGTTGAGGGTTCAGGTGGTAGCTGTATATCAGAGTGAACTCCTGTGTGGGGGTTGAAGTGTGTTCTATGTCTTCCTTTTTCTGAATGCTTCATTCACTCTTTTGGCAGAGTACTCAGCTAGTGACTATGGGTGATGCTGTATTGACTGGAAGGGCAAATAACTTTAAGTTTTTATTTGATAGATGTGATTACAATAAATGTTTGATATATTAAACAAAAACCATCTGTTGAATGTTCAATAAAATGGGAAACAGACTGGAAAAACATCCTAGCAAATATAAAAAAGATTAATATCAATAAGTATTACAATTAATTGAAACAAAACCAGGCAGAAGACTTGAACAGATAATTCTCAGTTAACCCTTGAACAACATGGGGATTAGCAGTGCCCTCACCCCTGTGTAGTGGAAAATCCACGTAGAACTTCTGACTCCCCCAAATTTAACTGCTAACAGCCCACTGTTGACCAGAAGCCTTACTGGTAGCATAATCAGTTGATTAACACATATATTGTATGTTATATGTGTTATATACTATATTCTTACAATAAAGAGAAAAGAAAATGTTAAGAAAATTATGAGAAAAAATACTCAATTTCTTTTAATGTTTGTTTATTTTGAGAGAGAGAGAGAGCGAGAGCAAGGGAGCATGAGCAGGGGAGGGCAGAGGGATAGGAGGAGAGAGAGAATCTCAAGCAGGCTGTTCGCTGTCAGTGCAGAGCCCAATGCGGGGCTCAAACTCAAAAACTGTACCTGAGTTTGAGACCCACATTGGGCTTCACACTGATAGCGCAGAGCCTGCTTGGGAGTCTCTCTCTCCCTCTCCCTCTGCCCTTCCCCTGCCTGCTCTCTTTGTCTCCCTCTCAAAAATAAATAAATAAACTTCAAAATATTAAACAACAATAATAAAAAAAAGCTTACAAAAATGTGAGATCATGACCTGAGCCAGAATTAGAGTCAGACAGTTAACCAACTAAGCCATCCGGGTGCCCCATGAGAAAATATATTTACATTGGTGTACTGTATTTATGGAAAAAAATTCACGTGCAAATGGACCTGCATATCTCAAACCCATTTGTTCAAGGGTCAACTGAAATTCATTAATTCACTCCTTCGACAAACATTTACTGAGCTCTTATATCAGGCAGTGGTCTAGATGGCATCAAACAAGATCGCTGAGCATTCGGAGGGGAGAGAGATGGACAATAGACGTGTTCTGAAAAACAAGAATTTCAAATAGTGCTGTTAAGAAAATAAGATAGGGTAATGATAGGGTAGAGAGTGGCTTTTTGGTTTTCAATTTTGTTTTGATTGAGTTTTGCCTTTTCTTATTGGAAAGCATTAGTAGTTGTACAGCTGTAGTTTAGGATTCCTAATCTCTACTTAATTATGTGGGAAAATTAGATTGAAGTTTTATTGAGGTTCCCTGATAGTTGGACTTAAATGTGTTTCTCTTTTTTTTAGTTTTTTCTTTTGTTTGGTTCTTCTCAAGGACATTTATATAATAGAGTACAGATTGAGATCTGTTGTCTCTTGTGGAAATTACTTATGTGGGTTCTTTTCACAGAATAGTGTTTGTTTTGTTCTGTTGGGAGGGAAACTATTCCTCTGAAAAATGTTCAAATTTTTTCCTGTGGCTTCATTCAGTAATGAAATGTAGTGATTTGATTTTGCCATGAGTCACTAGCATATTAGAGGATAGAACCTGGGTTTCTTGGAAACTTCTCTGCTTATTGTACAGGATGGTTGTAAGGGTCAAATGAGATGCACGTGAAAATTAAAGGAATCCCTGGATAGTTAGAAGTTGAAAGAGCTGGCTGGAGCTTATCTTTATCCTTTGCTGTTTAATTATATATCATGTAACTGAATGTTTCATAGTGTAATTAGAGTATAGGAAGTTCAGAGCATTTCTTTAAAGGAAGGTAATAAGCGGTTTTGCAGATGGGAAGTAACTTGTTTAGGGAACTTTCTTTAACAGATAAACATTTGTGTTTTTCATACATTACTGAAGATCGATCCAGAAAAACAGAGCAAGAAAGATGCCTGTTATTTTGTAGTTATATATTTTTTTATTATTAAGTTTAGGGACTTTTTAGGTATGAGAAAGAGCTAGTTGAATAGGAAAATAAATTTAGGTCTTTAATATTAATTTGGAAATTTTTGAGAATATAAGATCTACAGGAAGAAAAGGGATGAGGTTTTTAGAAATGGAAATAGAAATAATACAAAGATTGGGGCACCTGGGGGGCTCAGTTGGTTGAGCCTCTGATTTTGGCTCAGGCCATGATCCCATGGTCCATGAGTTTGAGCCCCACATCAGGCTCTGTGCTGATAGCTCAGAGCCTGGAGCGTGCTTTGGATTCTGTGTCTCCCTCTCTCTCTGCCGCCCCTCATATAAATAAACATAAATTAAAAAAAAAAAAGTACAAAGACTTACATGAATAGCCCTTAGGCTCACGTTAGCCCATGCTTCCTTTAATTCTTACTATCTGTGTGGAATTGTTTTCTTTTTGAAGGAAACTTGAACATAACTTCAAAAGAAGATTTGATACTTTATTTCTGGACTGCATACATATAACAAGACCATCAGAATGTCGGGAGCCTCAGTGAAGGTGGCTGTGCGGGTTCGGCCCTTCAATTCTCGAGAGACCAGCAAAGAATCCAAGTGCATCATTCAGATGCAAGGCAACTCGACCAGTGAGTACATGTTGTGTTCTGTCAATTATATCTCACCTTCCTATCTTTTCTCTTCTTAATGTGAACAGAATAAATGAACATTTGGGTATTAACACTTTGGACTTTGTTATCCTGAATGATCTACTATGTGCTTCCCCCTGTGATTTTTGCTTTAGCATATTTAAATATGGACTATTTAATTTGTTCTTTACAATTGAGAAATACCTAGAAAATGGAACTAATTTAGCTAGAGTTATTAAGTTAAAATCTTTTTTTTAATTGTTTATTTTTGAGAGAGCGAGAGAGATTGAGTGAGAGCGAGCAGGGGAGGGGCAGAGAGATAGGAAGACGCAGAATTGGAAGCAGGCTCCAGGTTCTGAGCTGTCAGCACAGAGTCTGACATGGGACTTGAATCTATGAACTGAGATCATGACCTGTGCTGAAGTTGGTCACTCAACTGACTGAGCCACCCAGGTGTCCCCTAAATTGAAATCTTAATGATAATAAAGGTGTAAGCAGTGATTTTTACTTAACCATGATGTGAAGTGTATCTATTGAGGCTCTAAGATTATTTTTCTTTCTTGATTTTAAATTATTTTTCCTTCTTGACCTTGCCAAGATGGTCTTAAAACTTACTCTTCTTCCTTACAGTGATTCTTTGAGTCAAACAACAGATATAGCTACAGTTGATAATAAATGTACAAATTTATTACTAAAATTATCAATAATAATTTGCGTATAATTTTTTTACAATAAAACTATTTCTTATTGAAATTGAAGTCATTACTTTCTAGCTTCTTTATATATAATTGCTTAGGTAAAAAATGACTTAAGCTGCTTTATTTTGTACTTGTGTTAATAATTAATTGATACGGATATGTAGGCAAATTGTTATTTAAAATAGTGGTAGTTTCTACTGTCTTGAAGCCTACAACTTTGTGATAAAGCAGAATCATTGTTCTTCCAGACACAAGTTAATGCCGAGTTGTTGGGGAAACCATTCTGATCCCCTCTGTATGTGGGCCATTTGCCAGTGTTCTCTGTAGAGGATTCTACCAGTGGGAAATGAAATTATATATTTAAGGTGTACAACATGATGCTTTGATATGTGCATACATTGCAGAATGATTACCACAGTCCAAAGTAATTAACCTATCTATCACCTCTCATAATTACCTTTGTGTGTGTGTGTGTGTGTGTGTGTGTGTGTGGTGAAAACACTTGAGGTTTATTTCTCGGCAAATTTTAATTATACAGTATATTATTATTAACTGTAGTCACTATGCTGCACATTAGGTCTCTAGAACTTACTCATCTCATGACTAGAAGTGTGTATTTTTCTTTTTTTTATAATCAATAGCTTGCCTTTGACCCTATCCCTAGCCTCTGGTAACCACCATCCTGTTCTCGGTTACTATGAGTTTGCCTTTTTATTAGATATTTTTAAAAGATGCAAGAGTGTGAATTATATCCTCTGAGTAATTGTAAAAGAAAAGGATGCAAAATTTAGTACTGAATTGTACACTTTAAAGGGGTGAACTTTTTAGAGTATGTAATAAGTTTTTTAAAAAAAAGGTCAATATTGATCATGTGCTCCTTTCTTAAAGTTTGAGCTAGATTTATAATTGAATTAGAGAACAAGTGTTTATGTTCATAAATGCCACTCATTTAAGCTATGGTATTATTCGTGCTTCATTTTAAGAATTAAGTTTTACACAATATATAACTAAATCTTTGCACAGAGGCCATACTAATTTGTATCAGTTCAATTTTAGTATGTGTGCTGCTGAAGTGAACATATTGAATCCTGATTATTGAGCTCATTTCTCTCTGAAAAATGTATTTAATTAGAACTTAGTTTGGAGGCATTTTTGGCTGTTGATGTTGCCTCTAAAAATGCTGGTATAATCACAAGTTCTTTTAAAAGGTGGGCTTCAGGATCAATCCTGGAGCCAGAATTAATCCCAAAAAGAACTATTTTTCTCTGTGATATGTTTTGCATACTGAGCTATCCAGGAGAAACCCCCAGTGTCACGAGTATCTGTTGCTACTTTCTTTCTTTTTTTTTTTTAGAATTTTTTTTTTTTTAAGCTTATTTATTTTGAGAGAGAGTGCGTGAGCAGGGGAATGGCAGAGAGGGAGGGGGAGAGAGAGAATCCCAAGCAGGCTTAGTGCTGTTAGCGCAGAGCCCAAGGCAGGGCCCAATCCCACCAACTATGAGATCATGACCTGAGCTGAAATCAAGAGTCAGATGCTTAACTGACTGAGCCACCCAGGCACCCCAAAAATTCTTACTACAAACGTTCGCATAGAAAATAAGTATTAGGAGTGCCTGGGTGGCTCAGTCAGCTAAGCATCTGACTCTTGATTTCAGCTCAGGTCCTGCTTGCATGGTTCAAGAGACAAAGGCCCTCCTCGTTCTCTGTGCTGATAGCTTGGAGCCTGCTTGGGATTCTCTCTGCCCCTTGCCTGCTTGTGCGCGTACTCAGTCTCTCTCCCTCCCGAAATAAATAAATAATAAACTTAAAAAAAAGAAAGAACATGAGTATTAGAAGGTCATATTCATGAAATGCAAAAATCAGTTTATTATATAACAAAACTAAATGGAAAAGTTTTATTAGTATAAATACTGATACCAGGGTTTTTTCTTGACGAATCATTTTATAAATTGGTTGTAAGTTTATATTCATTGTCAAAGCTAAATAGCGTTATATTAATTTCTCCCCAATATTTATTTATTTTTGTGACTCTGTAAAACATTCATTCACATGGCATAAAATTCAAAAGATACAACAAACATACAGTGTAAACACTTCTGACCCAAAATGTAGTCAACCAGGTCCTCTCCGTAGAAGCAACTTGTATTTCCTTTCCTTCCAGAGAGAGTACAAGCAGCATCTTTTTCTAAGATAGTTTTTTACCCTTTTAATTAGTGATAAGGTATAATAGTAGCTTATATTTCAGTCTTGACTGATTTTTGTTTTGTTTATTTATTTTCTCACCCCTTCCCCCAGCAGTGTATGTTTTAAATACCTGAATAATACAGCCCATGTTTATAATTTGTAAAAGTTGTGTCCTTTGAGATTTCAGCATGAAGAAGTATCTGTATAAGTTAACAACGTTTTATGTATTAGTAGGTATCTACTATATGTATAATGGTATGCTGAGTACTAAGTAGAATATCAAAAAAAGTACTCAATTGACTATCCAGGAGAATAAAACTATTAGAGTATGTTGTAAAAGGAAAAGGATTCTCTGTAGTTCTGGATAGTGGATCTGGGTCTGCTAGATTTTTCTGATTTTGCGGTTTTTTTTTTTTAATCCTAAAGATTAAAAGCTCACTAAGAAATTATTAATGGGTAATAAAAAAAATAAGTGTTAGAGCTCATTGTGACTAGGATGTATAGCTTTCTTTTTGACCTTCTAATTTGATTGTATAGAAAGTACTGTCAGTTTAGGGGAAAAAAATAAAATTGTCCAAATATGATATTCACTCCAGATGGCGAATGTCCCATATTTTTACTTGTAGTAGATAGCAAACTGAGGAGAAAATAAGATCCCTGGTGGTACACATTTTGAGTATAGGGCCATAAATTTTATAGTTTGTGAGGATCTAAGTTTTGTTCACTCATTCTTGCTTATCTCCTACAAAAGTCTCTCCAGAATTATTGAATATATTGAATTATTCTTTGGTGAAATAGTAATGAAGAAATGGTTTTTATTAAAAGCAATAATTTGGTTATGATAGGACTGCGTACGTTGTACTGGTCACATGGAAACCAATCTGTGGACCATGTTAAGCACAGTGCTGAACTACCAAACGGTTTTTCCGTCACACTTGGTTCAAAACTGTTGTAGACAACAGACGGAGTGGCTCTGTTACTGTTTCTTTTCCTTTCTCTTTTGAGAGTTTGCTATAATGTGAGTCTGTAGCAATCAGAGTTGTATGTACCGTAGGACCTTGTCCCTAAGGAGTTTTCATAAGTTTGTGGTAGAAGACACAGACATACCGAAATAAACTCAGTACAGAGTAAAAGTGATCAAAGTGATAATTGCCATAAATAGGGGTTTTAAAAAGTGCAGATGTGAGTTTGGCAAAGGGCACATGTAAGATACATAGATGGTGGGGCATCTTAACTGGACCTTGTGGAGTAAGTGAGCTTTAAACAACACACCCAGCATGTTCGGGGAAAATTTCAGAATTGCAGCGTATTCGAATTTAGGAGTGTTACGACCACGTATGATATTCCTGACCCTCATCTGGCCATGACACATGCCTCTCTGCACACAGCAGGAGTCTGTGACTTTTAACATTGGTCTCCTGGGGCAAAAATCCTGCATTTGATGAATCAGCCTTTGAAAAAGTAGGGGTTTCTAGCTAAATACTTTGTTGTGGCTTAGCAGTTTTGGGGTAATTTTGGTTCCTTTGAAAGGTGTTTGTTCTTGGAAAAGTAATTAATTGAGTGAGACTTTTCCTCCAGGATTCTTGGTGGTTTCAGTTTTCTGCTACTGTCTGCTATTTCTGTTTTTTCCTGTGGCAGTTTCCTAGTAGTTTGGCTAAAATGTGATCCACATAATTTTCATGTGAAAAATTTTAAGCAAACTACTTGCTCTGTTAGAAAGTATTAGTGGCTTATTAAAAAAAAGCTGGGCTTAAGATTGGGAGAAAGCATGCATTTTGTTGGAAAAAATGAAATGAATTTGCTATCGCCACATGCGTTAGCTGCTTTACAAGACTGCTGTGCTGGCAAGCTGGCCTGGCCTGCTGCTCACAGGGATTATAGCTGATTGCACATGGAATGCAGTGGAATGTTCCTGCCATAAGGTCTCTTATGAAAAAGTAGAAGAGGGTGAAGAGTACTTTAGGGAATGTGCCAAATCTGAAAACTGAGTAGTAGCAGTTTTATTTAAGCACTTTCTGGTCTCCGAGGGAATATTTTCCATGGCACAGATAAATGATACTGCCTTGACATTTTGGAGACCAAGTGCATACAAATGGCTTTGTTTAATAATATCCCATT